CTAACATCTATTGCCAATCCTCCTTTTTTTTTCCCCAAAGCCCCAGTAGATAGTTGTATGTCATAGTTGCACATCCTTCTAGTTGCTGTATGTGGGATGCAGCCTCAGCATGGCTGGAGAAGCTGTGCGTCGGTGCACGCCGGGGATCCGAACCCGGGCCGCCAGTAGTGGAGCGCGCTCACCCAACCGCTAAGCCACAGTGCCGGCCCACCAATACCTCTTTTAATTCAAGCCTGTTTTTACCATGCCATGAAAAAGGGGAAAGGATAAAAAATAACAGGACTATTATATCCATTAAATGAGAAAATTATATATAAGGGATGTAAAAGAAATTCAACCATTATTTAACTTGTTTTTTTAAAAAATAGGTAAAATAGCATTATATTCATATGAGATACATAGTGCCATACAAAAGATGAAATATAATTTCCCAATGTTCCAAGCCAAGTGGAATTGTGGAAAGTAAATTGCTAATTAGACTAACGATAGGTCTTTCCTTTCCTTATTTTTCTCTTCTCATACTTTTAGGTTTTTAGTGTTGTACCACGTGGTGTTTTTTTTCCATACTCTACATTATTTTCCAGTTCTGTCTCCATTGGTCCTATTTCTGTCACCGTTGAGCTCCTTCCTTCTACTCTTTGATCCATATCTTCTTTTTTACTAAACTCATACCTTTAATTAACCAATCCATGCTCCCAACTCTACAGTTGGATTGGGCAAAGCTCAAAATTTATAATGTGCTAAAATGCTCAAAGTTAACTTTAAAGCATGTATATTGATAACGAGATTTTACAGTTTTGTTAGGCAACACAAGAATATAGATGTCAGAACAAAATCGATCTTCTCCAAGTAACTGTATCATATACTTATTCCTAAACTAACAGTTCTTATTTCTAAATTTAAAGACAAAAATAGTGTACATATACAAGATATAATGTAAGGGCTTTATTAAATATGTGTTTTATGAATGTATCTCAGCTTGGCTCTTACATGTTCAAGAAATTGTTATGGTCTCAAGTATTTTTTGATACATTAACTAAAGGGCTATTCAAAATCTTGATGCAGGGCTCTTTAACCTCTGGTTCATGCACAAAACTATATTTTAATGAAACTGTTTTTCTTTTATTCCTATTTGTATTATTTTATGCATTTTAAAACATTATCCTGAAAGGGGTTTACAGGCCAAACCAGACTGCCAAAGGCACCCATGTCACAAAAAAGGTTAAGAATCCCTGATTGAGTCTGTATATTTATAAATAAGTTTATTACAATGAAAATGTATCAGAATGTATTCATTTGTTCATATAACATGTATAAAAATGTTAACATTGAATCTGGATTGTTTCAAGTTGATGACACCATTTTCAAACTTAGAAACTCTCTTAAGGCTCCACATGTAATAAAAACTTTGCAAAAATACGTATATTATATGAGTATTGTAGTCCATAAATTATAATATGGATATGGATTTAAACTAAAATTCATAGCCCAAAAGGCAAATGTGACTTTTAACTTAAAGATATATCACTCTACAGAGGGTATTTAATATTTGATATTACAGTCATTTACTCTATTTCCAATCATAACAAAAGATGAGGCTTCTTTGTAAAAGAGGATATATTCTGCAGAGTGAATCCAATATATCAGATCATTAAGATTCTATCTTGGTTGTCACCTCCTTTATTTAGCATATAAAACTGGTTAAAAATTGTATTTCTTCTTGCAATTCAATTTAGTAAAGAAATGACACGAAAGAATGACAATGATTTGAACAAAGACTGCACTAATTCAATTTCAGCCTAAAAAACAGAGGAAACAGCTAAAAAAAAAACAGTAATAATAATAAAATAAATAAATACTATGGAAGGTACCACAAACATTATCTTCCAGGGAGCATAAATCAGTGTAAATGAGTTAGGAACTTCCTTAAAGTGACCTGGTCTCAGAAAGAACTTGGTAGCCACAAAGAGATAATATTTGTGGGCAGGTAAAATATATTTAGAATTTCTATTTTGCCTTTAATCTAGTTTTCAATGTTGAACCAATTCCTTGAGCTTGTCTAATTACTATAAATTGTGTCCATAGGAAACCAAATAAAATAAAGTTCAGTTGAATCTTTAACTAAGATTAATTTAAATCTTCAATTTAATTCTTATGGTTATTAAGTTAAAAACTCAAGTTTAAAACAATTAGTCTAATTTTAAAAGTTACATAATATATAAAGTGCATGCATAGCAACAATAGATATATGCAAAAATGTTGATATAGTTATCTGAATGATAATTTTCTTCATTTTCTTTCTTGTGAATTCCTACAATTCCAAATTTCCAAAAGGAACATATATTGCTTTTGTAATGAGAAAAAAAAACACAGAATGTTATATGTGTGTGTGTTTGTATACCTTTCGTTTTATGCATCACTGTTTCTGCTGGAATGATTTCTGCCGTAAGTACTAGACATGTCAGAGTAGAAGTGGCATTCTTTTCATTTCATGCTACAGGAAGTCCAAAAGTAAGTATGCAGAGTTGGTTAATTCAGAGCTTTGAGTCATTTTCTTTGCTTCCACTAGGCTTTCCTTGGCGATTAGTTGTCACCAACTAGAAGTCTCAAAGGCAGAAAGAAACTGTGGCTTTTCACTGTGCATCTCTCTTTTTTAGAACCTGCAGCACTTCCTCTTAAACTGGCTAGAAATGGAACACATGACTACTTCTAAACTAATCACTAGCAAAGGAGAAGGGGATTACCCTAAATATCTTAAGGGTATGCTTTATCTTGTGGAGGCGGGGCTCAATTTCCCTGAACATTTAGCCACCTGTAACTGAAAAAAATTGTAGTTCTTTTCCCTCTCTCTCTCTCTCTTTTTTTTTTTTGTGAAAGCGGAAGGGGCATATTTTGGGGGTCAGGAGCCAGCAGTACCTGCCACAATCACTAACTAAGTTCTCAAAATAAAATTGAGACTATGAATACCAGAGAGTTTAAAGAGCACACAACTGAAATACAAAGCATAAAGACTAAATGCAGTTCTTGGAACACAGTAATTGCACAACATATGTAGCCTGAAGGG